CAGGATGGGGCATGCGTCCAGCCAAGTCCAGGCATATGCACGCACACACATACACACACACACACACACACACAGCTGGAGGAGGCCTCTTTGCTCGCAGCCAGTTTTGGGATCTCGGGAGCAAATTGGGGTCTCTGGGTACCACCTGGGAGGAGACCGGCGTAAGTTCATCAGCACCTGGCCAGGGGACTGCTGGCTTGGTTAGGCTGACTGAAGGCCCCCCCAGCCCACCCCCCCTCAGGACAGGAACCCCTGCGAGTCCAGTCTCCACCTGAGGCCACCCAATGCTGCTCTGGGCCGTTGTTTCTGCCTTCAAACTGTTATCCTTAGGAAGCTGTCCCTGCCTGGCACCGGGCACCTGTCTTGCTTGCTCCAGGCCCAGCACTTCGGAGGGCAGCAGAGAGGCGGTGGCCTTCTTCCGTGCCCCTCCTGGTGCCCCCTTCCCCTGGCACCTTTCTCGAGGCTAAACATGCTCCACTTCATAGCTCTTGCCGAAGACCGGCCGGCCATGGGTGCCATGTGCTTCGACCTGCCCAGCTTCTCTGTTATGCCTCTCGGGCGCTATGGGGTCAGCCTTGGGGGAGGGGAGCACGTGGCCCATTTCTCCTTACGGCACGTGGCTCACCCTCCTGCTTTGTCCCTTGTGTCCTCGCAACGCTTGGTGGGGCTCCACAGGAAGGCACGGAGTCCCTCGGCTGCCAGAGCCCGGCCTGCGCCCTGCAGCTGGCACAAGGGCAGCTGCTCCTGGCTCAGCACACCGAGGTCCAGGCAGAGCTCAGCCAGTGGCTGGAGGAGGCCCGGCAGGCAGTCGCAGCCTTCTCTCCCGGCAGCATCACCACCCGCTGCGACATCTTCCAGGAGCAACAGGAGATGCTTGAGGTGAGGGCAGGGGCGGGGGTCTTCGGATGGGGTCAAGGGCCCCTGTGTGACCCACACCTGCTCCCGCCTCTGTCCTGCGCAGGGTTTGCGGGAGGCCATTGCTGAGCACAAGCCCCTGGTGGGGAAGCTGCACCGCATCACCAGGTGGCTGTCCGAGCAGTGTCCACAGGAGGCAGCGCCGCTCTGGCAGAGGCTGCAGGCAACCGAGGAGCAGTACAGCAGCCTCCGAGAGCGGGCCCAACAGGCCACAGCTGTGCTGAGGAAGGCCCTCCCACGATACAGCCAAGTAAGCCAGGCTCACCACCCTCCAGTGGCTGTGCTGCAGAGGGGAAGGATGCCCCGCCAGCCCACCTGTGCAAAGTCCCACAGTTGGGGGAGCGATGGGGGCTCCTTCCTTGCTTGAGAAGAGCTGGCTTCTGCCTGCTGCCTTCAGGGTACCCCTCACCTCGTTGTGGCCCCATTCCTTCCCTCCCTGCCTGATGCCAGGCTGAAAAGCCCCTCTGGGCTGACCCTGCCCCTTCTCTGCTCCCGGGCAGCTGTCTGAGTGGCTGGAGCTGGTGGCCAGGAACTTGGAGCGGGTGCGGGACCACACACGGCACCCACCTGAGCTGCGGGGAGACCCCATCTGGCTCCAGGAGCAGCTCTGGGAGAACAGCCTACGACTGGTGGAGTTAGAAAAGCTGGGCGTGGCCCTCAAGACCCTCCGTGGGCAGGGGGCAGAGTTTCAAGCCACCCTGCAGACCACCACACTCCCAGGTACGCTCCTAGCCAGACTTTTTCAGGGGGGGCTCCCACTCCCAGAGGACTCGTGGCTACCCAGCTGGCCAGTCTATGGCCTGAGAGCCCCCAAGAATGCTCTGTGCACAGCCTGGGGGAAGGAAGGGGCTGCATTCCTGGGCCACCATCTCCTTGGAGACCCCACGGTTCACACTTGGTCCTCACAACCCCCCATGCTAGGCCAAGATGGAGCTGGGCCACTGGTGACTCAGAGTTGTGGAAACGCAGCTCTCTGTGGCTGCATGACTTGCATGGTTGGTCCAAGCTGGTTTGAGGAGCCCAGTGGCCGGCTTGGTTGACCTGGTCAGCAGAAGTGGGGTCCCTGCACCCCCTGGCTTCAGCCCTTCTTCCTGCTGCTGCAGCCATGCAGGAGCGCATGCAGGAGCTGCGGAGTCAGTGGCAGCTGCTGTGGCAGCTGGAGGAAGACCGCAAGGCCTCCCTGCAGGAACTCCTGGCCCTGGCCGGGCGGTTTTGGCCTGGCCTGGCTGAGCTGGCCGGGGCTCTCAGCAACAGTCAGCAGATGGTGCTGGACCTGGAAGACTCCGCGGCCTCCGGTCCAAAGGATATCCAGGCCAAGCTGGTGGCCATGCAGGTATGGGCTGGACCAGGAGACCCATCATGGCGTTCCCCCCCCCCGAGGAAGCTGTACCCCCTCCCTCCTTGTAGTGTCCCAAGCAGCTGCTATCCTGGGGAAGCTCCCCGCCCCGCAGGGCAGGAGCAATGCCTGGGGGATGGGCTGGAGGTCCTGCAGCTACCACCCCAAGTCTTCCTCTGAGGAGACACTGCTCTCTTCACAGTGGACGGGTCTCTTCAGGGTTCCTATAGAAGGGGGAGGGTGTCCTGGCCCCTCTTTTCAGTCAATAGGCCATGGAGGTGGAGAAGACCCAGGAGGCCGGGGTTGGTGGACTTGGGGATCCTGGGGGTTCGGTGGGGTGGGACAGCACAACGCCTTTGGGCCGTCTCCATCAGTACAGCCTCACTACTCATCTTGGCCCCACCTGCCGCAGTCTAGGACAACTTGCTACGGCCATCTTCCATTTTTGTCAATGGAAATAATGTCGAAGAAACGGTGGTGGATAACATTTATCGCATCCACCTCTTCATGCAATTGTCCCATGATGAGTTGACCCACAGCGAGCTATTGTGGCATTGGCCATGGCGAGTGGGCCGCGGTGAGATGGCCGTGGTGAGTTGTCCCATTCTGACAGGCCTAGACCTTCCTCCCAGGCCACCCTGTCATTTTGGGTTGCCCCCTTGAACCCTCCTCTGACTTGCGGGGCTCAGGGTCCCTGGAGATGGCTGTTTGGTCGGGTGGAGGACTATGCTGGCGGCGTCCATGGCCTCTCGCCCTGCAGGCCCTGCGCGAGGAGGTGGATGCTCTGCAGAGTGAGCTGGATTCCTTGGGGGCTTGGGGCATGGAGCTGATGTCATTGTGTGGAGACCTGGAGAAGCCCACCGTCACCAAGAGCCTGGATGACGTGAGCACCAACTGGGCTGGCAAGCGGTGGAGTGGAGGGAGACAGCAGCATGGTGCCCACAGAGTCCTCCAGGACATCTGCCCTTTTCCCCTCTCCTGGTGCTGGAGCAACCAGGGTGCAAAGATTGGGGGCCCCTGGACTGGATACCTTTGGGATGTGATGGATCTGCACTTGTAGGGAGTGCAGTCCGCAGGTACCCTTGGGGAGCAGACTGCATGGACGGCCCGTTGACTCAGTGGCCCCTACTGCCCTGGCTGCCCCGTCCCCTTAGTTCAGCTTCACAAGGTAAAGCTGCCCAATGTGGCTCCTGCTGACCATGCCTGGAGTCCCAGAAGCCTCACTGTGCCGACCCCAGGAGCTCCCGCTGACCCCTCTGTCTACCCCCCAGCTCTACTCATCTTGGAACAGCCTGAAGAGGATGTGGAGGGAGCGGCAGAAGCACCTGGAGGACCAGCTGCAGGCATCGGTCACCGACCAAGTGACGATGGAGGTGAGGAGAGCTTCCTGCCTGGGGACAAGAAGACATGGACGGAAGCTGCCGGCCAGGAAGGAGTGCACCCTGGGCATGTGGGGAGGGGCTTCAGCTGTCTCCTGCTATGGGCAGGGGGATCAGGTGACCAACTAGCAAGCTTGCCAGGGACCCCCCGGAAGAGGCGGGGCAGAGACAGAAGTCCGGAGTCCTTCAGGTGCCCCATTCAGGTTGCTTTTCCTGCCAGAGCAGCCCCTGTCAGCCCCACTTTCCCAGCTGATGGACTGTGCTGCGTTTTGGTTGTCCCCGGAGCATCTGCCAGACCTCCTGGGCCCCTCGGCCCCTTCTGGACCTTTCAGACCTAAGGCCGTAGCCCCAGGACTCCCTAGCCAACCCTAGGAAGCCTCCCCTGACTCGGCCCTCCCTCGTACACACCCCTCCCGCTTCCCTGCTGGTTTCCTCTCCTTTCTCTCCAGAGGCTCCTGGCCTGGCTGGCAGAGGCTGAGCAGCGGGTGGTCCAGGAGTTCCCGGGTGGGGGGGACCCGATGCAGGTGGAGCAGGAGCTCTCAGAGCTGAAGGTGAGGACTGGCTTGGCTTCCTAGAGAGGGAGGGAGGGGAGGGGGGTGCCTGTCCCCATGGTCCCAAACTGGCTCCGCTCTTAGTCAGTGGCAGAGTGCTTGTGGAGCGCGGAGCAGCGGCAGAGCAGTCCTTCTCCAGACAGGTTTGTTCCAGCCTCCACAGCAGGATCAGCCCCCTGGCTCTGTGCGGCTGCCACTCTAGCGTAGTCCTAAGGAAGCCAGGGGAGGGGCTGTGCCAGGCAGCATCTCCTCATTGCCTCCCAAATCCCCTGGGCAGGCCTTCAAGCGAGAGCTGTACCGGCACCAAGTGGAGGCTGAGAGACTTTGGCATCAGAGCAGCTGCCGGGAGGCTGCCCAGGAGGATCCCCCCCTTGCTTTTGGGGGCTCCCGGGACCGTTGGATCCAGCTGGAGGAAGAGCTGCTGACCCGGCAGGTGGGGGCACTTGGGCCTGGGTGGGTGGGAGCGGAAGGGTCTCAAGGGGGGCTTGCCACTTGCCTTCCCCACCTCGCTGCCTGGCTCGAGAGCCCCCACAGCCTCTGGGCCTCTCTTGCAGCACCGTCTGGAGGCCGCCCTCCTGCGCCTGGGTCAGTTCCAGAGCCAATTGGACTGGCTGATGGAGTGGCTGCTAAACACCGCGGAGCAGCTCCGGAACCCCCTCCCCCTCACGCTGGACCTGCAGAACTGCGAGATCGAGGTGGCCAAGCACCAGGTGGTCCAGTGCCCCCGTTTCCAGGCAGGGGATTGCTCTCTGGTGGGCAGTTGGTGAGGCTGACACCGGCTCTCGGCAGGTGCTACAGAAGGACGTCCTGTCTAACACAATGACGGTGCAGGCGGTGCAGGAGGCCGGCTGGCGCCTGCAGCAGCTGCCTAGTGATGGCAGCGGGGCCTGTGCAGAGGGCCTGCAGGGCAAGCTCCAGCAGCTGAGCCATCAGTGGAGCCAGGTCTTGGCCGAGATGGAGCACCGCCAGCTGGCCTTGGACCACAACCTGAGCCAGGTGAAGCCGGGCGGGGGACCTCCTGGCCAAGTGTTTCCAGGACTGGAAGACCAACAGCCAGAGGCGCCTCTGGGGCTGGAGACAGCTTGATGGCCTTTGCTCAAGGCCTGGGGGGGGGTCTTCTGAAGTCAGGGAGCAGCTTTTGTTCCTCACGCCCTGGTCACTTTACCCACTCTCTGCCTGGTGCTCCCGAAGGTGCGGGAGGTTTCTCTGGAGGCGGCTGGGCTGATGCAGTGGTTGGACCGTGTGGAGTTGCAGCTCTTCTCTTCCAAGACCATCTGGGGCCCCCCCGAAGCCACCAAGGACAAGCTGGCCGCACTCTTGGTGAGTTCCTTCCCAGGTGCCTGCTGCATGCCAGGGACACGGCCGCCTTCTTGGATGGCTGATTCTGGCTAGGGATGAAAGGTGGCCCAGGTGCTGCTTGATGGCCCACTTTCAGCCCTCTTGGAGCCCTTCGGTTGAGAAGCTTCTTGCCTCCCTTTGTTGTGGCAGTTGAGGAGGTTGGACTTTAGGAGGCTCTGAAGCCCAGAAGCTTCCCCTGATGGTCCACCTGAAGATGTTGGGTCATTGGGACCATTTCCCGAAGACTTTGGGAGATCTCCCATGCCCTTTGTCTGTCATTGTGCTGAGTGGGCATGGGGAACCCGCAGATGGTCCAGGCCAAAGGTCCCTCCTTTGGCCGCTGGAACTTCCTGGGCCTTGCCAGCTGGGTCAGGAAAGGGCCAGTTTGGGCAAAGCTCTACTAGGGTCGCTTTCCACAGCACAGCAGCAGGGAAGGCGTGGGCAGGGCACCATGGAAATCCTCTCCTGCCCTGCTTCAGGTGAGGGAACAACAGCGAAACAATCCAACCGCATTGACAGAAGCACCCAAATCAAGGACAGAAGCCGTCCGGGGCCTCTTCATCACCCAAATGGGTTGGAAAGCACAGTGTTAGCGCCTGGGGGCTCCTGGTGTCTCAAGGCTGTTCCTCAGTGTGGGGCTGCCCCTTTCCCCACTTTTCCTTCGTGGGGTGGGACCCTCAAGAGCCCCTGAATTCTCAGGTGCTGGTGCAGGATCATGGCTGCCTGGCTTTAGGCCTGGGGAAGGAGGCTTCTCTCTTGGCTTCAGGGCCTTCCGAATAAGCAAAGCTGTAGTGTTACTGGACCATCTCGGTGCGTGGACCTTTTGCTAGCTGTGGAAGGCCGCGTGATTTGCAGGGCCTGATTTCCTGCCAGTTCCCAAGTGCTCCCCTTCCACCTGGGCTGCCTTTGGGTTCGGCCTCCTCCTCCAGGCAATGATGGAGGTTGTGGCTGGGGAGCCTCACCTGGCTGGATCTTGTGGTTGGGCAGGAACTCTGCGAAGAGATGAAGTCCAAGCAGCAAACATACCAGCAAGTCCAGGAGAAGCTCCAGCATCTGTTGGCCACCTGCCACTCAAACGGGGCTTCTACAGCCGAGCACAGCCTGAAGGTGTTGGAGCAGAAGTGGGGTACCCTCACTAGCCGCCTGCAAGAGCAGAAGGTGGGTGGGCAGGAGGGGGGCTGCAGAGGCCGGGGGTCTTGTCCTGCACGGGGTCTGCCCACGGTGCTCCGTCCTTCTCCCAGGAGCAGCTCCTCCAAAGCCCGAATACGGCCACCGAGTTCCACGCCACCCTCCAGGAGCTCCTGAAGTGGGTCAGGCAGACGGAGGAGGTCTTGGCAGCCCTGCCTCCTCCCAGCTACATCCTGGACACGGTCAGCAAACAGAGACGGCAGCAGCAGGTCAGCCACAGCCGGCTGGAAAAGGAGGGGGACTCCCCTGGGTAGCATGGGTGCCCTTGGTGTCATTTGGGAAGAGAAGTCTGCCCCCCGCTCCCTGGGCACTGGCCCACTTGGCCCAGTGCGGACTGGGCGTGTTGCAACTTGTGGCTGAGCCCTCTTATGTGGGGCACTGCCAAGCTTGCTCTCAAGTGTCCCTCTCCAGGAGAGGCTGGGTGGCGTGGACACTGGGGAGGAGGGCTGGTCTGTGGAGGGAATCTCCTGGGCTCCCCTGTCTGGTGTGTCCCTGCAGGCCTTGGTGCAGCAGACGGTAGCCCAGAGCAAGAAGCTGGCAGGGATGCAGGCGGGGGCTGCCTGCCTGACCCAGGACAACGGGGGTCCTCCCAGCCTGGTGGGCAGTGCCAAGGAGCGGCTGGCCAGTGTCCTGCAGCAAGTGAGCAAGAGGGGGGAGGTGCTGGAAGAGGCCCACCAGCAGGCCAAGCAGGTATCTCACACAGAGCCCCCCCCAAAGGGCAGCGGATAGGGGGCGGGGGGGCAGGCGTGCCCAGGGAGGTTTAGTGCAGTGCTTCTTTGGCCTTCCAGTTCAGAGAGTCCTGGCAGCTGCTGCTCAAGTGGTTGGATGGGGCTGAGGCAGCCCGTCCAGCCCCTGCAGATGCCCCCCCAGTGAAGCAAGAGGACCTCAAGGCCCTTCTGAGACAACACGAGGTGAGGCGGGGGCCCCCACTGGCTCATGCCCACCGTCTGCGGAAGCCTCTCCCTTCTCCTGCACCATCCTGATCCAGGGGGGTTTCTCTGTCCCATGATGTCAGCAGCTGAATTTGGGGGACCCCATTGGAACGCCCCATCAAGGAAACAGCTCCCCCTCCCGGGGCAGACGGGGGGGGGGAGGCAGATGCCTCGACCACCCGGGCTGCCCTCCAGGCAAAGACTTTTCTCCAAATGTTCCCGCAGGAGTTGCAAAGGCGCCTGCGGGTCAAGCGCCGGGTCTTCGAGGCCACCCTGCAGCGGGGGAGTCTCTTACGGGCCAGGGCCCTGCTCCCTGCTGATGGCCAGGAGCTGGACGCGATGGAGAGGGAGCTGAAGGAGCACTGGGGGGCTCTGTGGAGCTGGGCAGCCGAGAGGTAGGGGACAGAGGGCTGGGGGGGGGGCTGTTCACCAGTCCTCTGCACGCTTTTGGCCACGCCGAGTTTCCACAGACTGGCCAAACCGTTCTTGTCCTCCAGAAAAGCCAGATCTGGCCTTGCTGGGGCAACTTGTTCTACAAAGTCACTGGTCCTGGGGTGGGGTGGGGGGGTGTCCTTCAAGGAGGTGCTCACTTCTTTGTAGCTCATTGCAGTGCTATCAAGAGTAGAATAGAATAGAGCTGGAAGGGACCTTGGAGGTCTTCTAGTCCAGCCCCCCGCTCAAGCAGAACCTATACCCTCTCAGACACGTGACTGTCCAGAGGAGAACGCTTTGTGCGACTGGGAGGTGTGTCCGCCATTGGCCCGGTCTCTTGGGGGGGGCAGGGAAGAGGGTTCAAGCAAGAGGGTTGGCTGAGGATCTGGTGTGGGCCTGGATTCCTGCGGAGCAGTGCTGGGATACTGACCTGCTCTCTGGGGCCGGTGAGGCCAGCCCCAGTGCCTCCCACCCTCACCAAAACTTGCAGACAAGGTCCAGGTTAGAGCAATTAAACTGGTCACTCACGGGACAGTCTGGGGCTCAAGTGCCTTTGGCCCCACCTCCAGGCCCCTGGGATTAGAGCCCTTTGTAACAGTTGCTCAGAGAGGCCTAAACTCCCCCCCCCCCGTATTCGGCTGCTGCTGAATGGGGCGCAGGACAGCAGGAGCTCGCCCAGAGTGGGGGCTGCCGATGGCTCCAAGGAGGTTCTGCTTGGGGCAGGCCTGGCCCTTCACCCCAGAGAAGGGGGCACAGAGGCCTTGTGGACCCCTCACTGCTCAAACCCTTTGCAGGCAGCAGAAGCTGGAGGAGCAGCTGCTGTTGTCCGGCTGCTTCAGCGATGACCTTCAGAGCCTCCTGGACTGGTTATGTCGGGTTGAGCCCCAGCTGGCTGAGGAGACCCCCGTGGCTGGGGACAGAGACCTGGTGGGCATGCTGATGGAGCAGCACAAGGTGGGTGAGAGCGCCACTGCCCGATGTGGGCAGGGTGAGGAGGGGCCATTTGCAACACGACTGCTGAGAGGATGGCTAGAGGGCCCGGGGCAAGGCGGCCTTGGTGTGCCCACAGAAGCCCCGGTGCTCCCAGCCTGGCGGAGGGAGAGGGGCTGAATGGCTGTGCTTCCTGGATGCCTAGCAGTGAGGCCTCCTCTCTTGGGCCCAGCAGGCCTTCCAGACGGAGCTGAGCCGACGGGCGGTGGCTGTCGGGACGCTGAGGTGCTCTGCAGAGCGTGAGCTGGTGCAAGGTGGGAGCACCATGGATGCCCGCTGGCTGCAGATCCAGATGGAGGAGCTGGAAGATCGCTGGGAACTCATCGGCCGGCTCTCCGTCTCGCAGCAGAACCGGCTGGAGGTCACCCTGAGGCAGGCATGTGGACAAGCCACAGGGCAGTGGCGGGAGAAGGACGGTTGTGTGGAAGGCAGAAGCTGCTGTACAGGACCTGGGGTGGGACACGGGACAGGCAGGAGGCTCTTCCGTTTCCCCAGCCGCCGCCACCAGAAGCCCCCTTCTTGAAGCCAGGCAGATTCCAGAGGACCCACATTCTGCATCCCAGAACGGCAGGGAGACCCCGAGTGGTGCAGACATCATTCTCTCCTACAGGCAGAGGAGTTCCACCGCCGGCTGTGTGCCTTCCTGAGCCACCTATCTCAGCTGGAGAAGTCGGCCATGGACGGGACCCCTCTAGAGGAGGAGGAGGAGGAGGAGGAGGCCATGGCTGAGGCCCAGAGCCAGCTCAAGGTCGGGGGGGGGGGCGGTGAGAGCCCACTGCTCTTCTCTTGAAGGGTCTAATGCCAGAGCCTTCAGCCTTCACCCTCCCCTCTGGCGTGGGGAGGCTGGCCCCACAGGGAGGTGCTGATGGCTTTGCCCTCTGCTGGCAGGAGCTGCGGCAGAGCGTGCAGTGCCAGCAGCTGGAGCTGGACTGCATCACCTCTCTGGGCGAGGAGATCCTGAGCGCCTGCCACCCTGATGCTGTGGGCACCCTCCAGTCCTGGCTCGGCCTTGCCGAGAGCCGCTTCCAGCAGGTGAGCAGAACGGGAGGGGGGGGGGCTCGTGGGCGCTCTGGGCCTGGTATGTGTGGCCTCCAGGGGGGCCATTCAGTCAATGGGGTGGGGGAGCAGGTCTTTCTTCCCTCACCATACGCGCTTCTCTCCTCCCCCACATGGTTCTCCTCCCATCTCTTCCTCCTCCTCCCATCTCCTCTTCCTCTTCCTCCTCCTCCTCCCATTTCCTCCCTCCCTCCTCCTCCTCCTCCCACAGCTCTGCAACCAGGTCCAGCAGCAGGAGCAGCGGCTGCAGGCCCAGGCGGCCTCCCTTGCTGCGGGCCAGGAGACAGTGGAGCGACTCAGAGACTGGATCACAGCCACCGAAGAGACCTTGAGCCTGCGGGACCAGGAGCCCCTCCCTGAGGATGCCGGGCAGCTGGAGGAGCTCAGGTGTCAGCACACGGTAAGGTAACTTCGCTGCCCCCTTTCCCTTCCTGTCAGGCCCAGCCGGTCGCTCCTAGCTACCAGTGGGGGCTAGAGGGGGCTCTGCCCCCTGCCTCACCAGCGTCCTGGTAGAGGAAGCCTTTTGCCGTGGGTCGGCTGAGGCATCAGTGACCTCCATCCACCCCCCGGCCCTTTGATCCTCTTCAGAGGCCGCCCCCTTTGCCCCTTGGCAGGGCTGCCAGGGAGGCTCTTTGGCTGGGCAGTGCCCTCTGCCCTGCAGTCGAGGGAGCCTCTGGCAACCAGGTTGCTGCAGCCCTGGAGATCCTCCCTTTCCCAACGGGATGACGCTTTCAGCCAACACAGAAGCCCCTGCGAGTGTGTGTACCAGTGCATGCAGACGCACGTGTGGGTGGTTGTGTTACCGAGGCCCTGGGTGGGGTGGCTTTGAGAGGGGGGGAGGGGTCTTGGCCCTGCAGCCATGGCACCCGGTTGCCGAGCTCCGGATGGCTGATGGGGACCCCCTCGCCTCCCCGCAGGTCTTCATGCAGGAGCTGGACCACAAGCAGCCGGAGGTGGAGGCGGCCGCCAAGCGTGGGAGGCAGAAAAGGACTGCGCGGCCGGGGGTGGAGGCTCCTTCCTGCAAGGGGCCTTCCGGTTGGTGCCTCCAGTTCCTGGTTTATTCGCAGCTCTTGCCCTGGGCCAGAGGTGGAGCCCCCGGGGGGCAACGGGCAACATCACCCTGCGGGGGGACACCCAACCGTCCCCTAAGCAATTCTGCCCGTCCCGCCTTGAGGCTCCCGGAGGAAAAACTGTTCCTGGGCACACCCGGGAAATCCAGCAATCAGGCGGTCACGCTTAGTGTCGACACCAAATTATCTGAGCAATTAAGCCACCAAAACGCTCCAAAGACCTGCTCAGTCTAGGAAAGTAAAGATTTTAGAAATTTCACCCAATGTTAGACTTAAAGATAAAACTAATGCAACTTAAAAAAAGAATAAAAAGAAAATGCAGAAAAGAAACAGAAAAAATAGAATAATAATAACAACAAACAACAACAACAAAACAACAACAACAACAACAACAACAACAACAATAATAATAATAATAATAATAATAATAATAATAATAATAATAATAATAATAATAATAATAATAATAATAAAGTTGGAAGGGACCTTGGAGGTCATCAAGTCCAACCCCCTGCATACAAGAAAAAGAAATACAAGAAAAAGAAAAAAACACATAAAGTAATGGCCACCACAAGTATAAACAATTTTAGTAACTTATCACCTTCTCTTACGGTCTCTTCTTCCCATATTCCATCTCTTCTCTATAAAGAAAGCCTGATCATTTCAATCCTGATCAGCAAAAGTCCATTAAAGATGATCAGAGATAATAGCATATCTATTTAAATCTTGATTAAATAGGCCTTGCATTCCTTTATTTTTAGCAATATTGATCGCTAATCTCTTCAAATGATGTCCTAGAATTTAACTTTTTTTCCCATTTTTTTATTATTCTCACAAATCCTTCCAATACCTTAACAAGCCTCTTTTGTAAATCCAACGTAGGAACATTATCCAGGCCATTCTTTTGCTATTTGTATATCCCTTTTAATTATTAAGAGAGCGGCATCAGCCAGTTTCATTTGTATATCCTGCATAGCATCTTTTCCTATGTCCTTCTTTTGGCCTGTCGTTTTTAAATCCACTTTCAGATCTGCCTCAGTCTTGTCCAGTAAAATTTGATCGCCTCACATAACATCTTTTGAACACAGATTATCTATGACAATGGACACTTTTAAAATTAATTTCTGGGTCCATTGTTCACAAGTATCCTTCAATACGTATAATGTTAAAGTAGTTTGCTCCATTTTGCGTAAATCAGCTTTAAAAGTTCTCCTTTAATTGTAATCTTAAGTTCCTTCTGGTTCTCTCTACGGTCCAATCTTTAAAGTCCCATTCTACCATCATAGGATTTTTTGAAGAATTCAAAACAACAGTCTTTTCCCCACAGGAAGGATTCTTATAATTAATTTCAAAATCTTATTTCAAATCCAGGTGGATCCTTAGTCCATTTGGAAGTTTCCAAAAATCAGTGCTCTAGTCACCCTAATTTAAAAACTCTTTGGCCAAGGATCGAAGAAAACTCACCCGGTGTTTTCAGACTTGAGGCTCCAAAGAGCCAAACAGCAGTTACCAAGCGATTTCCAAAATGATTAGAAAAGGAGTAGAGGGACCCGGTGTCCATAGAGGCACCAACGGAGTCTCCCGGGCATTTCCCTCTGAACCTGCCAGAGAGCACTCTCTTGTGGTCTCCTCATGAGGAGCAGCTGTCCGGAGCACTTGTGGGTGATCTCAAGTTCTCTCCTTATACGGAGAGGAATTAGGCAGAGCAAAGTTACTCACCGGTTCTTCTTTCCACTGTGGCCACTGGCTCTGCGTTTCTCGCTGTCCATCTGGAACCAAAGAAGACCAAGGTGGCGTTTTCTTGAGCCTCTTTCTCAGCCTTCCTTCCATCTCTGGCCTGTGTCCAACCCGCCCCCTCACTCACTCATTCATCTGCCCCACAGTCGACTTACAGGGGGGCAGAAGAGGGCAGGTTGGAAAGGGCCCCGTGCTGAGAAGCAGCTCACAGCTCCTTTTATATTTGCCTCCTGCCTAGTTGGGGCCCTGGGGGGGGACGCTCAGGGCTCTCACAAGTGCCCCCCAGCACACTCTCAAGTGGCAGACAGCTGTTTAATAGTGCCAGGTTTCAGCTGGGACCCTCTCTCCCCCACTGCAGGATGGCATGGGGCCAGAAAAGCTTTGCCCCTGGAAGACCTGGAGCCCCAGAGCCCACTCCTAACCCAACTGGTGCTCCGCTGGCAGCGCCTCTGGCTGGCAGCTCAGGACCGGCAGCATCGGCTCCAGAATTCCCAGCAGCGCCTTCAGGAGGTGAGGATGGGCAGGTTCGGGGTGAAGAGCCACTCCAGAGTGGCAGAGCAAATGCAGGGAGGGACCCAAGTCAGGCGCTCTCCCCGGGTGCCCTGGCAGCCCGGAGAACGACGGCTCCGGCCTCCCAGACATTGGGGTGGGAGACCTGGGCTGCCTTTGGCTGCCTCCAATGGGAATGGGCAGCTGGATGGGGAACTAAGGCGCCAATCCCCTCCTGGGCCAGCTCTCCCCACTCTCTGCCAGCCATGGGGATGAGGAGAAAGGGAGGGCATGGGCCTCTCGCCCTGCTTGTGTGCTTTCCTCGGGTGCCCTGAATGAAGCGGGGCCCTTGTGCCTGCCACCCGAGACACGGTGCGTGGCTGTTTCTCTCTGTCTCTCGCACAGCTGGAAGAAATGGCCAACTTCAATTTTGCTGTCTGGCGCAAGCGGTACCTGCAGTGGATCAGCCACAGGAAGTCCCGGGTCCTGGACGTCTTTCGCAGCATTGACCGAGACCAAGATGGGCGCATCACCCAGCAGGAGTTTGTCGGGCATGTCCTGGCCTCCAGTGAGTGCTGGTCCCAGGCTGCCTTCCCCTGGGTGTCCTCCACGGGGACGGGCCAAAAGGTCCAGGTTTCCTGCCCAAGCCCCTTGCAAGGGCTGCCCCCTCTGCCCTGCGGTGCGTTTGCTTCCCCTCGTGGCTCTTGTGGACGTGGCTGGGCCTGAGGGGATTGGGGGGGGGCTGCGGCCGGCCTCCTCCACTCTTTTCCTTCCTGTCCAGAATTCCCCACTAGCCTGCTGGAGATGAAAGCAGTGGCCAAAGTCTTTGACGTGAATAGGGATGGTTTCATTGATTATTGTGCATTTATCAGCGCTCTGCATCCCAGCCGGGAAATCCTGCACAGAGCAGCCAACGTGGACCACATCCAAGAGGAGGTAGGGCAGCCAGAGTGTCCCCCCCTCACTTGTGCAGTTTGACATCAGAGTGGCAGCTTCAGAGTCTCCCCTCAGTTCTGTTGCAAGGAGGCGTTTAGGTGCTTCCTTTGAAAGTGGAACGTTAGCAGAAAGGAAGTCCTATGGCTGCTGCCGCCGGGACCCTCCACGGGGGAACTGGGGCTCTTCAGCCCAACTGAGGAGGGAGGGCCAGGCTCTGCCCCACAGGCCTCAGCAGACACTGAGGGAGCCTCGGGCCAACCCCCCCCTCTCTGCCACCCCCTTTGGAGAGGCAGCTGAGCACCAGGGAGCAGCACTGGGCAGAGAAGAGGAAGGGAAGAGGTGATGCCCGGGAATGTGAGCCAATGGCGGGAGGGTGCGGGGAGTTCCCAGGCAAAAAGGGCACCTGGGATTTCCATCAGTCACGTGACACAGCCACAAAGCAAGAACTCATGCTTAAGAAAGGACACTTCTGGTGGCCACTGTCAATGAATCCTCTGGTGTTGTCAAGTACAATTTCATGTGGCCGCCACTTGCTACTTCCTGCCGGCTTCGCTGTTGAATTTTCTCATTGGAAGCCGGCAGTTCAGGTCGGAAAAGACGATCAAGTGACCACAGGATGCTGCACTGGGAGGATTTTGAGGACCGGTCATGAGCAACACCCGCTCAGCCCTAGCTACGTTCCAGCGGTTGCTGATTGAGAGCAAGCAGTTGTGGCAGTTGAATTTTCCCTGAGTGGAAATTGAGGCTGGCAAGTGGGGGGTTAAGTCTACAGTAGGTCCCTACAAATGCAGGCATATGTAGGAGAAATTGGGGTCTCTCCCTTTCCCCCCCCCCCCACTGCCTCTCTTTTGTGACGCAGGTGAACCGACAAGTGGCTGAGTGCAACTGTGCAAAGCGTTTCGAAGTGGAGCAAATCAGTGCCACCCGTTACAGAGTAAGCCTGTTCCCCCCCCCCGATTTCTCAGCCTGTGTCCCCCTGCACCCCGAGTCTCTTGGTCCTCCCTGCTAAACCGAGGACCCACGTCAGCTTCCAGAGTCAGGGTGTCTAAGCTGGGCACGGTGCAGAAGAGGTCCTGGCCCACTGACTCTCTGCCCGGGCCTCTTCTGGCGCTCATTTCTCACGCCAGCCCTGCCCTCCGCATCCACGAATGGGGCAGCCACGCTGCAGGGCTGTGTGCCTCTGCCCTGAGGATGGTGGGACTGAGAGGGAGGCTTCTCCACACACGGGGACCCCAGAAATGGCCTCCGCCAAACACCCCCTTCCTGCTGCTTGTCCAGTTTGGGGAGTGCCAGCAGCTGCGCATGGTTCGAATCCTGAGAAGTACCCTGATGGTGCGAGTCGGAGGAGGCTGGACGGCTCTGGACGAGTTCCTGGTGAAGAACGACCCCTGCAGAGGTGAGAGGCTGGGCGGGTGCCAGGACCCCGCCAAGCAGGATGGGTGTCCGGCTGCCTCCCCCTCCCCTCCCCCAGCCTCCCCATCTGGCTGGACCCGGCATCTCATAGGCTCTCTCTCGCGCAGTCAAGGGAAGGACCAACCTGAAGATCAATGAAAGATACCTCTCCCCGGGACTCCTAGGGCGGAAGGGGGCAGGCAGCCAATCTGCCCCCGCCTCCAAGATGCTCTCCCCCTGCTGCTCCACCTCCAGCCTCAGCCAGTACAGCAGCGCCTCTGCGCCCAGCAGCCCCGTCCCGAGGAAGGTGAGCTGGTTGGGGGAGAGCAGAGTCCTGGCCAGGGGTGCCTCCCGCTGCCCCCCCCCAGGCGGCTCTGGCAGTCCTGCAGCCCGGCCTCTCCTCTCTCTCCTTCCAGGCTTTGCTGCGCTGGACACACTCGGGGGATCATCGGGGCTTCCACTCCTGCAGTCCTGCTGGGGGGGCTGGGTTGGCCTTTGCCCCTGGAGCACCTGGGCCGGACGCTGAGCCCCCAGGTGAGTGTGGGGCTGAACTCTTGCATCCCGGCTGAGAGGCAGGCCAGCCCTTGCACCCGAGCGTGGCCTGGGGATTGCTGCGACCATCCCGGGCACTCGGGTTTGGCAGCCTCGCTTGGGAGGGCTGCTCGGCCACGGTTGCCCCCGCGAAGGGCTGGGCCTGTTTGTGGGATGTTCTCTCTGCTTCCGCTCAGGTCACCCCACGAGAGCAGCTGCCCGGAGTGACGTCCCTGCACCCTGACGGCTGTAGCACCGCCCTCCTGTCTGGGCCCCGGGAGCAGCAGGGGAGAGATCTGGGCAGCCGCCCACTGGCACCCCAGTCCCTGGGAGGCTGGGCAGGCCGCCCCACCTTTCCCCACAAGCATCCCTCTCCCGGCTCCGCACAGCTGTCCTCCACAGCCCTCCCTGGCGATGCAGCCGAGGCTCTTTTGGAGCAAGACCACCCTTGGGGGGGCAATTTTTGGTGCTCTCACCAGCCAGCTGCCCAGCTAGCCGAGGCCTCAGGTGTAGCCTCAGTGGGCCTGGGACAGATTTTGGAACAAATGGCATCTTGCCCTGACTGAGCACCGTCCCACTGCAGGCAGGCAGCAGCCCGGCTGAATCCTGGGGCCAGACGCAGCACCAGGAGCAATAAAGACGAGGCTTCCTACAATCCCCACCGCCTCTGTGTGCACTGGGGGGGGGGGCTGGGATCCAGGGGCGCATTAACTGGCCTGCCAGAGGCAGCCAGCGGGCCACGTTCCCGGCTGCCCTCCTGCATAGGGGTGCTCAGGTGGGCTGCCTGGGGAAGGGCCACGGGGTCAGGAGGGACCGGCTGCCTTCCCTCCGGCCTCATGGAGCAGCCGGGGAAAGAGCCGGGGTTGGCAGGAGCTGCCGTGGCCTGGGCTGGTGGGTGACCTCTTGGCAGGTGTCCAGTGTTTCCAAGCACAGCCAGCCCCTCCACATCCCCCCCCCAAATGAATTCCTCCAGGCGATGGGGGGAGGGGAGGGGTGTGCAGCAAATGTGCTTTAAGCCACTGGAAGCTGAAACCCAGGCAGGGAAACGCTGTGGGGGGAGAGTGGAGGGAGATCCTGGCGGAGAGTCTGGATCTTCCAGCTTCGCTTCTGCCCTGGGGGAAAGGATGGGACCAGCTCTCAGCCCCGACTTTCTCAGGAAGCCCAAGGAGGGGGGGGGTTAAGACCGCAGGAGAGGCCCTCCCTTAAGCATCCAATGAAGGCCTCGCTCCCAAGGGAGATGGCTGAGACCGACGGGGGGGGGGGAGGATGACCCCTTCTAAAGAGGGAGTCAAACCGGACCACAGTCGCCTCCGGGCAGAGGAGTGGGGGTGATCCAGGCCAGTGTTGCTGGGCTTTGGAGCCCTGGAGGGAGAAGCCCTTTCAGCCCCTTCATAAGTGGTCTGGACTGGGGGGGTGGCAGCAAAGAGCTGGCTAAGCCTGCAGACCCCCTCGGCCATTGAGGGCCCTGGAAACGTAGGAGTGAGCCAAGAGGCTCGGACCGCAGGTGAAACCCAAAATGCTGGGGAGGAGGGCCAGGAGCCAGTGAAGCCCCCCTCCCCCAGTCAGAATGGTCAGTCTAGGCAGGTAAATGCCCGCTTGGCCTGGAGAGAGTGGACAACAGTAGCCCCATGGCAATGGGCAGGGCAGACAAAAGCGCCTCATTAACCCCTTTGAGGTGGACACTGCCTTGTCACCTGGGAGAGCCTGGTGTCCGGAGCCCTGATGGCTCTCTTGATTGAGCTCCTCGGAGTTCACTTCGATTTGTCTCTGTCCTTTTTCAGCTGTGGTCCCAGAACCTAAAAAAAAAAGGGGGGGGAGTCTGATCAGGCGGACTAAAGGGGGGCAGTTACTACCTGTGATTGACAGTCTATGCTGCAGGAAACAAGAGTCCAGGATTGCCTTTGCCTGTTTAACAGCTGCATCACACGGCTGGCTCAACTGCCAGCTAGTTTGTGATGGAGGGTGCTCAGCTCCCTCCGCCGGACCTGCCGGCAAGCCGGTCATTTAGCCCTGTTGGCAAGGCAGAGGTGGGTCAGAGAGGTACGTTAAACTTCATGAAAGTTTTAAACCACTTTCACCTCCACTTTAAAAATAAAAGTTGCACAGCCAAAAGCAGAGATCGGAATGGATTTCAGCCTGCAGACCTTGGGGGAGACGGGGGGGGGCTCTCTGGGGCGGCAGACGGGGGTCTTGCTTGAAAAGGACCTTACGGGCTGCAGACTCCCCATCCTTGTTTGCTCGCTGAAGGGAGGTCAGGATCCAGCAGGAGGGACGTCCTTGGACGGCAGAAGCTCAGCCAGGAGGTTCCGCCCGAGTTTTGTCAGCTTCTACGTTGCCTTGGAGAAGGCGGCTGCAGCGGCTCACAAAAGGCTGAGCAGAGGGTTAGGACTTGGATGGGACACCACCAGGAAACTCCAGAGCCGAGGCCAGGCTTGGCCACACCCTGACCAGGGCAGTGGAGGGCCACTTCAGAGGAAAAACTCCCCCCCCCCACCCTATCCCAGAATGCCTTTGGGTGGAGAAGGCAAATATTTGCAGTTCTGCCCCAGCTTTTCATGTCAGTTCGCGTGAATTTCATCACCTTCTCTGTTGACCTTGTTGGGATCAAACGGGGGAAGGGGGGGAGGGGAGGCTGGCTCGCCATTGCCCAGACTTTGCAATGGGTGCTGCAGCTTCCTTCTTTTCCTGGGGGTCGCAGAGGGCAGCAGCTGGAGCAAAGGGAGCCCGTTCCCAACTCTGGCCTGGCCTGGCACCTCTGCCAGCACTTTGCCATGTGCCATTTACCTGCCATCATCGGGGGCCTCCGGCTTCTACTCCTGGGCACACTAAATGGGGCTTTATTGATGCCAGCTAACACCCACTGATTGGGGGGGGGGCTTTGGAAGCTCTCGGCTTTGGGGCCTGAGGAGAGAGCGGCCTCCGCCCTGGTGCCCGACCGGTCCCTGCGTGGCCTGATGCACTTCTCAGGGCCTCCCACCAAGTGTCACACCTCGGCCTGGGGACCCTGGGGCGCCAGAATTTGGCTACTTCAAATAAGGCCCCCTTTGGGGAGCTGGGCTGTCCTGGGCTAAGAGGGCCAAAGGCTGGCACAGCCCCCCAGTAATTGGGAGCAGAAGCTGACCGGTAGCGCCCCATCCCATCCCCTCCCCTGTGCCAGGAATGGGAACAGGCCCTTGGCTGTCAGCCTGGGCCCTTCCTCCACAGACCCTCTGGCCTCTTTCAGCACATTCCACCACCCCCCGCCCCCCTCCCCAGCGGATTCTGCTGCTGGCACCATTGCAGCCGGGGGGAGGGGGGCCATCTTGGGTAGAATCTTGATCTGCAGCTCACGGCTCAAAGTTGGGGTGCAGAAGAGCTCGGCCCCCCAGCAGAGCCCTGGCCCCCTTTCCTGCCTGGACAGCCCTGGAATTAGAAAAGGGAAGGGTTTCAAAGGTCTTTTGAGGTCATCTAGCCCAACCCAAGCCCAGTGCAGGAATCCACTGCTATTGCCTCCCCAACAGACGACCAGCCTCTGTTTAAGCACCTCCAGCAAAGTCCTTAGAGCATTCTTGGTGACAATGGAAATCTACTTCCTTCCCTTTTAAACCTGTTGTGTCTTGTCTCGCCTCCTGGGACCAATCCCGCCCTCCTCCTCCTCCTCCTCCTCTGTGCAGCTCTGGAGGGCCTAGGAGAGAAGGGCCGGGCCTCGTCTCCCCTGGGCTCCCCCGCCCATCCTCTCCAGCCCTTCCTCACTGTCCCCAGGGCGGGGCGGTAATCTGGTCACGCTTCAGCGCCTCAGTTGTGTTGGCCAGAACTGGGTGCAGCAACTGAGGTGTGTTCAGACTCAGGAGAATAGAGAGCAACGATTTATTTATTTATTATTTATTATTTATTTATTAATTTAATTTATATACCGCCCTTCTCCCGGAGGACTCAGGGCGGTGCACAGCATATTAAAACAAATAACAATAAAATACCAGAATAAAAACCCCTCTAAAACCAAATTAAAAGCCAAATATTAGTAGCTGTGTAATAATTAAAATTATATTAAAATCATCCCTAACTAAAATCCTCCCTAGGCCAGGCCCGCTTGCTGGAAAAGCCATGTCTTGAGGGCGCGGCGGAAAGTAAGGAGATCCGGAGTCGTCCGGATCTCGGGGGGTAGTTCGTTCCAGAGGGTGGGGGCACCCACAGAGAAGGCCCTCCCCCTGGGGGTCGCCAGCCGACATTGCTTGGCCGACGGCACCCTGAGGAGACCCACTCTGTGGGAGCGTACCGGTCTATGGGAGGGAATCTGTGGCAGAAGGCGGTCTCGGAGGTAACCAGGTCCAATGCCATGGAGCGTTTTAAAGGTGGTAACTAACACCTTAAAACGCACCCGGAAGACCACTGGTAGCCAGTGCAGCTCGCGCAAGAACAGTGTTACATGGGAGCGACGAGTCCCTCCCATCACCGCCCGCGCGGCCGCATTCTGGACCAGTTGAAGTCTCCGGGTGCTCCTCAAAGGGAGCCCCATGTAGAGAGCATTACAGTAGTCCAGGCGGGAGGTGACGAGAGCTTGAGTGACTGTGCGCAAAGCCTCCCGGTGCCTTCTGTAGATGCCACGAGGGATTCCCCTTGATCACCCTGCTGGATCGGGTGACCCACCAAGACAGCCTGTTGTTTTTTTTAATTATTATTATTATTATTATTATTATTATTTATTATTATTATTATTATTATTATTATTATTATTATTATTATTATTATTATTATTATTATTATTATTATTTATTTTCCTTTGCTGTGCTTCGCAAG